TACCTTCATGTCTAAATGAAGGATGTTTTTTGAATGCATGTACTCAACTCCATCACATATTTGCCTCATGAAAATTGTGACTGCCTTCTCTGTGAGTATGAAATCTTCGTCTATGACTCTCTCAAACAGTTCACCTCCTTCTATGCTGCAGGAAGAGAAAAGCAATTAATTTTCAGAATTGTTTTGCCTTAACAAGTTCATATATATTTTTTTATTTTTACGAGGAATGTTCCTTTTTTTCCAACTTTGATCGAGCTGCTAAACAGCCAGATAAGTAGGATGAAATAGGGATGACGGCATATTTCTTTAATCATAATCTCTGACGCTCGCTTGCCAGTGAGAGAGATATTAACACGTGTGTAAAAATGATCCTTTCTATAAATGTAGTCTCAGTACGTTACCCAGGAAACCATTAAAAGTTGAGTTGCCGAAGAAGTTCAAACTACTTCTGACCAAGAGGGAGGTTACGGTTTTTAAGGATCCAAAAGGTATATCGCTTGTACAGTTGATGTAATCAGGAACGAGAATCAAAGCTGCTGTTTATTGTCAGATATTACGATGACTGCGAAGAACCATTCCAAACAAAAAATGATTGCTGACTTTTGATATTGTCCTCATTCCTAGCTTGCCCTCAAAGTTCTGCTCTTACTGAATAGTTTCTGTTAAAATAGAACATGTTATACCTCGTGCTAATTGGTTTTTACCTCTGAACAAGTCCCAAGAAAAACTTCAGATTAACGCTCAGCCCCAACTCGCATCTTTGAAAAGATCACTGAAAAGTTCCTCTATTAATATGACAAATGCCTGAATCTTTGCGTCGATTATGTCAAAAAGTAACCCTATTTGTACAGAACTTTTGGTAATAAATTAATTTTTTCTTTTGTCTTCTTATGGTTCATCGGAGGTTGAAAAATACAACCTCGTATTATAAATTTATCCATTCTTAGTGTCAGCCATGTTATGTATTAATAATCTCTTTCGGAAGTATAAAATCATAGCCTTTTAAATTTTTATGAAAAGGGTTATTTTTCTTCTTTGTTTTGGCGTATGATCTAAAATTGGAGTGCTTGGTTACGTTTCGTATTTGCAGTTATACATTTTTTTTCTGTTCATTTCTATATTTGTTAAAGATGCTGTCATTTCAGTGCTTTATTTAAATTATCTTTAAATTTAACGAGAAAAATCAAAATTGAATTTTAAAGGGGAATATTTGCGTATATATACAGGGTGCTTCTAAAAGAATATCGGAGTTTTAACGCTTTTTAGTATTTATTACATATAACATATTAGTAGGACTCATACATCGATTGAAAGAGCAACTGAAACAGTTTTATTTGCTGACATGTGTGTGCTTTCACGCGAAACGTAAGCTAATTTCCCTTTCTCGCCGATCAGCGCTCTGGTAGAAAATGGCGACTATTGAACAGAAAGCGTTTTGTGTTCTCCAGTTTGCAAAGACAGAATCTGCTATTACTGTGCAACGAGCGTTGCGTATTAAGTTCGGTTGTCAACCTCCAAGCGGTAATAATATTCGTAGATGGTATCATCAGTTTGAATCTACTGACTGTCTTTGTAAAGGGAAAAGTACGGGGCCGCCAAAGCTTAGCGAAGAGAGTGTTGCTCAGTGAGACTCTTTCTTGCGTAGCCCAAAGAAATCAGTTGGGCGCGCAAATTGTTAATTATCAATGCCAATGATGACTGTTTTGAAAGTTTTACGCAAACACTTTAGAATTACGTCCTTATAGTCTGCAGTTGCTACAAACTCTAAAACCGACAGACTACGCAACAACATGTTGATGCATTCTAATGAAAATTTTCTGTCGTATTCAGTGGTGAGTCAACTCAGTGGCGCGCATCAAGAGGAATTGCAAAGAGACTCACTTAAATTGAAGGTCTCATTTTCGGAGAACTAACTGTAACTGGTTCTGCCTATTTGGATTCTATGGCTCTTTCCTCAATTGGAAGAAAGGGAACCAGATCATTTCATTTGGCAGCAAGAGGGCGCACTCTCAGTAAGCAATGGGTTGAACATCAATGCACCCAACCAATTGTTTGAATCAATCAATCACATCAACTCCACACTCACCAGAATGGGATTTTTATATGTATGGGAGTTCATTAAGGATTGTGTGTACGTTCCCCTCCACTACCAGCTCACCTTCCACACTTAAGACACAGGATTGAAGCAGCTCTCTGTTACAAAAATTACCTCAAACACACTAAAAAAAGTTGGGGATGAACTCGCCTATCGACTTGATGTGTGCCGTGGGACGAATGGGGTGCACATTGAACATTTGTAAACATCTAGGTAAAACTGTTTCGGTTACTCTTTGATTCAATGTATGAATTATACTTATAACTTACATGAGATAAATACTATAACGCGTTCAAACTCCGATAGTTCGAAACACCCGGTATATTTATATTAAATATATTAAAAATATGAAAAAATATATATGAAATAGAACATCATTTCGACAAAGTAAATCTGTGCGTTTAAATTATGTCACTTCATTTTCCATGTGTTAGCAATATCTATATCTATCTATTCATTTATATATATATATATACATGACATTTTTAATTTCATTAAATTAAGAGTTTTTTTAAGAAAAAATTTCATAAATAAAATAACATTTACAAGAAATAGAATAGCTCAAACCTATAATTTTTCTTAATCATCCATTTTATTTTTGATCCATATGATTATAAAAAGATCAAAATTTTTTACACAATATTTAAATTATATGATTTAGGGTTAAGTTTCGAATTTAACAATAACCTTTCAGTTGCTTAAAAAAACGCATTATTAAATGAAATGTTACATTTCTAGAATGAGACACATTGTTTTCTTGCCGTCGTCAAAGGCATCATACAACTGCAACAGCCGAGGATGCTGGAGAATAGTCATGATTTCGACTTCTCGTTCCACATCTAAGCGGTCTTGAGGCTTCATTGTAGTGATGAATTTGGCCGCAAACACTTTACCTGTAGCCTTTTCTGTACATCGGTGCACAGTACCAAATTTGCCTCTGAAGGAAGACAAAAGAACATTTTAATTTTATTGTTAGGCTAAAAAACATATTTAAATTATATGAAACACAATGTAGAATTTTTCTGAAACATATTTTTCTTTAAGTAAACTCTGAAATAAAGTTTTGCTTAGGAAAAAAAATAATAAAGACTCTTTATTTAAGTACATGCATTATTTAAGCGTTTTACAAAAAGTTGAAATATTCATTGATTGTTACATTCAGAATGTTGTTCGATTCATTCAATTCGTTAAGGAGGGATTTTAATCCACAATGGTCTTCAACCCTCCAAGACTTGGCGTGATAATTCCTTTTTATTTTACCTGCTTAACGGGAAATAACCCCAACTGTATCTCTCAAAATACTGAAAGGATAGCGATTTTAAAAAAGAATGTAATCTTGCATCTCCCGCGTTTTCGGACCTATCAGAAAAGCTTTTACCGGAAATCATGTGATTCTAACAGCTTCCGGTTGACCCAAATTAGAAATGGATGAGGTTTCTAGAACTAACAAATGATGCTTTTGTGAAATTCATGTCAACCGCACTTGTTAAAATATTGCTTTGTGTTGTCCTCTTTGTTCTATATTGATGTTGGTAGTGTTTTCTACATAACTAAATAAATGTATACTTCTATTGACAAGGTGTTTCATCTTCAATCGTGCCACAACAACCACCATCTCTTAATAAAAATATGCTCGAAACAAAGTCCGTAATACCTCATATATATACAGGGTGGTTCTGAATTCATGGTACAAACTGTAAGGGTAGATCCAAGACGTTCTAACAATCATTGATTGTATAGAATGTATGGACGCAAGTGACGCGGTGAGACGCAAACAGGGGAAATAAAAGAAAAGAAAAATGAGTTATCGGCTGGTTGCGTTGCCGGTAAGGAGCAGTAGATGTCTAGCTGCTGTTCAACATGATGCATCTCAGTAGAAGAAAGCGCCATTCGCAATTGTGCTGAAACCTACGATGGGAGAGTTAAAGCATGCCGAAAATACAGACATGTGCAGCCGGGGAAATGGAAAGGGCAGAGCTTCGCTACGAATGTATCAGGCGCAGTGTCCTGATCGACGAATGCCTGATCACAGAATTTTTCAGCGGCATCATCGTGAGCTTTGTAAAAACGCGTTCGTTCTACATCACCAGTCCTGATGCTGGTCTAGGAAGAGCTCTCCAAGCCTGGAAGAAAGTATCTTGAACGTTGGGGTTCTTTCCTTCAGTGTATAAATTAATCATACATTTCTTGTCTTTAACTCCTTATTTCGGATAACAGCCATTGAACTATTTAATAATTGAGTCATCCCATCATTTCTTGATCATTAATGTTAAATTAATAATGTTTCGTCAATTTGAATCATGATCAGAGAAAGAGCTAATATCACACTTTACAAATTTCAACTTCATATTCATGAAGACTTTGAAGCATTATTGGCTTTAACTTAAATTAAAATCCATGCTTTCGTAAAACATTCTTTAGTAAAATAAACATTCGAGTAAACGACCTTATAGCATCTCTTTCTTAATCTATTATTCACTTAAATAATAGAATAACAATAGACAAAAATTAGGGATAGTGAAATTATGTGTAAAACTGGTGGTTGGGATTTAAAATTAAAACAAGTAGATTAACAACTTCATAGGGCTTTGTGGCACCGGAATTTCGATGGTTAAAGCGACTTTCTTGTAAGCAGGAGACCATGATCTCGAGCCTCGTCGGTGTCTGAGTAAACGTTTTTCCTACTCAAAAATGATACGGTACTGGGGTTGATCCTTGTCTCATGATAGTTTATTAAAGAATTTTTTGCTTTTCATATATCAGTCGAGATATATACATCAAATAAGGAGAGGGGGGACTTTATTTCGCTGCACTTTTTTTTACAAACGTATAGAAATCCTCGTTTTATATTCCTTCTAGAACAATTCCTCTTAAACTAAGACAAGTAGATTAACATGGAAGGGTAAGCGCCGTGTATTAGTTGGTTAAATCACCTGTGTTGTATACAGGAGATTACGAGTTCGAATCTCAGCGGCGCCTGAGTCAAACTTTTTCTACTTAATAGTGATACAGTGTTATGGTTGATCCTTGTCTCATGCCAGTGTACTGGAGGAATTTTCCTTTTCCAATATTAGTTGTAGAAACTGAGTAGATGGTTAGTTCTTTTGGTATAAAATTTGCATAACCCTGATGTTCTGTTCGTATTTAATACACGTATTTAGCGTTTGGGTCAATAGGATCCGATTCAGAAAAAAAACTAACCTTTCTTGCCGTAAATGACAGGTGTCATTTAAGAAATGATTGAAATAATAGTAATGTAAGATTATATATATATATATATATATATATATATATATATATATATATATATATATATATATATATATAAAAATAGATCTCTATAATAATATAAAACATCTATAAAAGTAACAGGAAATATTCGAAATAAAAAACTTACTTTTATTTACAATTTGAACCTTACATGAGTCTTGCAAATTTGATTCTTACACTTGTAGCGTAATATATTAGTTTTGTTCTCATTGCTAAATGGACGTATATAGCTTGTACCTTGCAAGTTTAACACACAATGAAGTATTCTCAACAGAACCCGATGGTACAATTTCCCTTTTTTTCTGTATTCGTTTCTCTATTTTTATTTGTATGGAAAAATGAGGGATTTTCCAGTTCTTCCATAAATAGTCTTTGTTTTCGTCCCAATCACTATGTATTGAAGTCCCTAGTACAAATGCATTGTACGCAGGAGTATTAAGCATGTTATAGAATACTCTCATGGATCAGCGATTTGATTTTCTTTTACAAGTTGATGCGTTAAGAAGTTGATCAAGTGTGTCCACAGCCCCTTTAGTTGAATTATAATCCAAGATCATTAATGGTGTGTTGTCAAGTCTGTTGTGTTAACTTCTTTGCCACGATGCAAAATGCTCATAAGAATAATGTTCTTGTTCTTTTTTGGGATGTAGTTTACAACTCCTGTGTCTTCTGTAAAATAAAATAATGAGCTGTAAACTTCTTTACTTGTCATTACTTCAGGAAGTTCTAGTTTATTTTTTTCTAATGGTGCCAATCATAGTCATTTTCCGTTTTAGAAGAAGTTACCCTAAGTTGTAAGATGTGAAAAAATTATCGCATGTAATGATATGCCCCAAATATCCATTAGTGAGATCACATACTACTCGCACTCCTTGATTTTTCTCTGTCTTTGGCAACTGTTCTTTTCCAGTGTTAATTTGTGTTTTCAGTACATAACGAAATTTTGCTGTCACATAAAGTCCATATTTTGATCCCATATTTAGATGGCTTACTTGGTATATACTGTTTGAAATCCTTCTGTCACGAAATCCTACTAATTGTTTATCTACAGTAATATTTTCATTCGGATTGCATAATTTTGGTAGAATTTCTATCCATTTTTCCCTGATATCTCGCACTGCAGCTAATTTATCCAATTTCTTTCTTTCTGGACGAGTGGATTTATTATCAAAACGAATAACTCTCGACATGGTACAAAATGTTTCGATGGATATTGTCGCATGAAATATATTTCTGACAGTTTCTTTATCCCATAAGCTTTTTGTAAATTATAAAGAGTGTTTTTTTAGAGGTATAGAACTTTAAATTGCAATAAAACAACGATGTATTATTCGATTGACATGAATTTTTTTTTATTCGAAAGAAAATCTTGAGGCATTACATTTTAAATATGATCAAGCAAGGCGTAGATTCGTCGAATGGGCCCAAAACAATATTGCCGTTGTTCCCAATTTTCATAAGCGAATTTTGGTTAGCGATGAAGTGCACTTCTGGTTGAATGGCTACGTCAACAAACAAAACTGCCGCATTTGCAGTGAAGCTAATCCACAAGTGTATGTCGAAACACCATTACATCCAGAAAAACTGAATGTTTGGTGCGCTTTATGGGCTGGTGGAATCATTGGTCCGTACTTCTTCAAAAACGATTAAGGCCACAACGTTACAGTCAATGGTGATCGGTATAGAGCCATGATTACTAACTTTTTCATTCCTGAATTGAACAATCATGATGTCCAGGAGCTGTGGTTCCAACAAGACGGCGCAACATGTCACACAGCTCGTGCCACAATCGATTTATTGAAAGACACGCTTGGTGACCGCCTAATTTTACCTTTTGGACCTGTGAATTGGCCTCCAAGATCTTGTGATTTAACACCGCTAGACTATTTTCTGTGGGGCTATGTAAAGGCATTGGTCTATGCGGATAAGCCACAAACGCTTGACCATTTGGAAGACAAAATTCGCCGTGTTATTGCCGATATACGGCCACAAATGTTGGAAAAAGTCATCGAAAATTGGACGTCAAGATTGGACTACATCCGAGCCAGACGTGGCAGTCCTATGCCAGAAATCATATTTAAAATGTAATGCCACAAGATTATCTTTCGAATAAAAAAAATTCATGTCAATCGAATAATACATCGTTGTTTTATTGCAATTTAAAGTTCTATACCTCTAAAAAAAACACCCTTTATATATGATTTATAAACACCAGTTAACAATAAGAATCCAGTATATGCTTAGAAAGCCATACATTTTCTTCCATAAACTTTTTCTCCTTCAATATTAGTCATTTTTTCACATTTGTCACAATTTTTTTAATTGTGAAATTGAATACTACCTCAAATGCTCTTTTTACGTCTGTTACCCTTGCCGTTGCATATCTTGTGCCCCTTGGAGTAGTTTTTATAATACAGTGGGTGATCGGTTAACGAACATAATCCGTTCCAAGACTATGTTCGCTATCTGAATTGTTCGTTAACCGATCATCGATTCACCATAGACTTGTGTATGAAATCGATTAATTCGTTCTGGAGACCCTAAAAATTAAATTTTAAAAAATGTATAATTTCTTAGTAAGTTTTTTAAAAAAAATACATCCATATATGTATAGTGTTGCATATTAATCAGTCCTTTTCATTTTTTGCTTATGGGGCGTTGTCCAATGTCGATTGCTTTTCTCTCTTTTTCAGGATTTTCCGGAAGTAATTGATAGCATTGTCGTTGTAAAGATCCCCAACCCTACTCCCATCCGCTGGGTTTGGGTGCCCTTCTAAGATCTTTTGGAAAAGATCTTCAATGGCAGATGTCGTCTTCCTCTTGTTCAGAAGGAGACACATTTCGGGGGCGGGCAATGAACGAGTGGGAGGGAAGCGCTCAAAAAGAAATCATTTTCTGTTTGGAATAAAATCAAAAACAAAACGGATGGTCTAATTTGTATGAATATTCTATTGGAATTTTTTTCAATGGAACTTTCAAGTTTAATAGGTAAGCAACATAATTCAGGAGAGATGAAAAACGATTTTTAGTCCGTTTCTCATATTTCACGTATTTTTACGGCGCGTTGTCGGCACCTTTATATTTTATAGTCTGCACTGTTTGAAGAAATTAAGAATTCGCTTAACTTATTCACCATGTCACAAATCCACTCGCCCATAACTTATCAGCTTTCATAAAATATTGATATTCATATTGAAATTCAAGTATTCAAGTGTGTATTGATTTTAGTCATAATAATAATTATTGAATGACACTTAAATTCATTGTTAATTCCAGTTTCATTTTGTAATTATCAATACTAAGCATGCTTTAAACATTTCTCCTTTCAGTGATCTTATTTTGCATGCAAAATGATAACAAATGTTTAATATTAATTTTCTTTCAGAGCCGAGAAGTGTTCGTTAGAATTCGTTTTGTTCATTACCCGAATATGTGTTCGTTGTCCAAACACAAAAAAAATCTTTTTTGAAAGTGTTCGTTATACGAATATGTGTTCGTTATCCGAACACAAAAATCTTTCGTGAAAGTGTTCGTTAACCTATCACCCACTGTATTAGCAGCTGTTAATTGAGAAGAATGTGGCTGCGGATTCAGCTTCCACTTTATTCACGATTTTACGACTGAATAACTTTTTTTATAGTTCCTTCGTTGATTTTTGGTATTAAAATCTTTGTCAGAACTTTTTCACTCTCACTTGTATGATTTTCATCCTCAGATACGTCTTCTTCGCTGTCAGAAGCTCTATTAGCTTAGCTATATCAGTGTGACTCAAAATTATGTGATTTGCCACTCTTTCTGTCCCATTCGCAGGCACAAACCCTTTACTGTATATCAGAAAGTGAAATACAACAGAAAAAAGAAATGGTTTGATAAAAACAAGTAGTTTTGCCCCCTGCCAATCGTATGGACTTTTTAAACGTGCTCTCTTATCATGTGACCAAACACATACATCAATGAAACAAGTTTTGAAAACGAATAAATTATACAAATTGTTGTTATTCTTTTCTTTTAATTTATTCCAAACAAAAGTGAACATGTATGAGTAAAAATAGCTGACTTTTTGCATTGGGTCATATTGACCCGAACGATACAATAGGTATAAATTGAAAAATATTCCTTCGAAATATAAATAAACATAAATCCCTCTGGGAGTACGCATTTATAATGTTTTTCTACGATGTCAATAAATTTCATGAAATTGTCCCTGTTTTATATTTTTTTATGAACGTACATATTTTATTTCGAGTCATATAGACCCGAATAGAATAGCAGGGTTAAAGTGTTGCTTCAGTCTCACTCATTATAAATCATTCTACTAAAATAAATACTACTTACTATAATAAAATAAGACTGAAAGAAAAAAGCGAGATTGTATTTAACACATTTGATTTTTAGAAATCAGCAATAATTTTCTAATACGATTTTTCAAAAGCATTGAAAGCATTTTCAAAGCATTCTCTATTACATTTTTTAAGAGCGATTTAAAAACAATGTGGAGTAATCACATGAGGAAATACTTATAATTTATTAAAAATTCCATCAACGACTCATTTACAAAAAGCAAGAAATGAGAGTTCTTGTAGGAATGCGACGCTTTAGTTGTGTTACGGTTACTCGTTTTCATTGCTGTACACTTTCTAGAACGCGTTCCAGTTTCATTACTTTTAACCCAGATTACAAAGGTCGTACAGATAAGGCACACTTGAACT